AATAGGGGCTGATCACACTTCCAGAATACATGGAGGTAGAAATGATTCCTGCCATCAATATTTACGACAATTGGCATGTAGGCATAAAATAGGTCATGCTTCATCAGTCGAGCATTATGGTGTAATAAATGATAGGCCAGTTATTCCAGTACATAAGAAAGAAAATACTAAGATATCGGATATTATAGACCTATACAATTACTAATCATGCTTCTTGGTTTTCACCACATTCACAGTAAAATCTTTATCATCGTTGCTGGGGATATTTACTTTGTAGCTGGATGATTCAGAGTCAGACCCAGATGTGGTATAATTAAAAAATTTCTTTTTTCTTTTAGCCTTATATAGTGTACGATTTCTTTGAGAAATATCAGGGTTTGCTATCGTGTTTATAATATCTTGTTGAATCTTGGGTTTCACTATCTTCAGTAATTGGTGAAGAGGAAATAAATAATATATAAGGAATTTATATATCAGAAATTATTAACTTATAATATATATCTCTAAAATTAATTATCTAAATTTAGTTATTTTTTCAGTTATAATATATATCATTAAATAGCTACTGTGTAGTTGCTTCCAGCAATATTTGATATGGTTTTCATAAAAACAATCGTAGAAGGAAAAATCTCAGTAAAAGCATTAATTGATACAACATCTAAATCCAATACTATTAGCAAGTGCTTGTATAATAAGTTTGAAGAAGATTATGGGTTAGAAGGTATATCTGGTGATGATTTGATAAGCAAAGAAATAAAATGCTTAGATTTGCAATTTCAGTATAAAGAAAAATAGCGAAGCTTAGATGGTACCGAAGTAATAGATTTTCAAATTCGCAAAAATCCATCATTTGATTTGGTGCTAGGACAGGATTGGTTATGGATGCGCGAAGCAAAAATTTTCTCTAGAAAATTGTAAGCGCTATGCTAAAATTGAGATAGATGATATGAGTATCCCATTAATCGAAGAAGATAGCAGACCTATAGGCGACTCTTCGAGCCATAAAGCTAGCTCCACTAAAAATAACTTATTTATTGCAGAGCAGGCCATATTGTGAAACAATAGCACTTACGTGCCTAGGCGATTCTCTGAATCATAAGACTTTGTCCCTAAATCAACAGAATCTAAATCTGGTCTAGCTCAAGAGGAGGTTATAAATATAATTAACAAAATTCTCTCAAATACCAAAGATAGACTTGAAGGGTTATTGTTTTGTAATAATAAGCAACAGAAGAAACGTCATGGAATATTTCACAACAAATCTGAAACAGAGACTGATTCATCCAGCTCCGATTCAGAATCCATGGATTCAGACTGGTATAATCTCGACCCAATAAAACCCCGAAAGAAGAGGCAGAGCCTCGAATATCTGATTCATCGTGTTCATGTTAAAAAGAAAAAGGTTGTTTTTCCTATCCTAAAACATCGTAAAAATAAGCATACCAACTGTGTCCACATTTCAGAGTAATGATCTATCTAATCAACTATAATAACTAGTGCAAGTGGAAGGTCTTTGAATCATTCTTCAATGTGGGCTAAAACCTTTCTAGATAATATTTTCGATGGAAGTACCTCTATTAATACTTTCTCAGCACTTTTTTCAATACATATATATACCCGCATTATATGTATTAATTTTCCACCTTTATAGTTATGTCTGTGATGAAGTAAAAATCGATACTTATTCATTACAATATCAATCATCTCCTCCTGGTCTGTTATTAATTTCCGAAAAAGCTGTTTATCTTTATCCGTAATTGGGAGGCAGATTTCTTTAGGACCTGATCTAACTTTGGAGGAGCTCACGAATATACCAACTGCACTTACCCATAAGCTAAAAATCATCTGCAATTGCTACCGAAGATCTAGCGATGATCCTTTAGATTGAGACTTTGACTCTCCTGGCTCATACTAATTAATTCATGAATGAACAGATCGCCAAATCCAAAATTAGCTTAATAGAATCTGCAAATTAGTTTTGTTAGTCGTGAGAAATAAACTATATAAAAAAGCTAAGTATAAGTAATTTCGTTATTAAAAACTTATCTGGTAACTCATCATTATTATGTCTCTTACTAATCTTCAAAATCTCGCCTTGAATATTTTAAAAGAAACAAAACATAACATAGTACAAGATATCGTTGTTACAGAATTGCCACCATGTAAACTATGTGAAAATAAAATATTATCTGTTAATTTCGAATCATTTACAATACTTTCATGTAGACATACATATCATAGAAAATGTATAGAAAAAAAATTTTTACTTACAACAGAAAACAAATGCCCTTTATCTGATTGT